CTCAAATAAAAAATCATGAACACTGCTTGCTTTCCTTTAATGAATATATTTTTTTCTGACCTGGAGAATAAATATGTGGGAGTCATGAGTTCTTACTCATAAATATCCCAAGTATTTTGGAACAATTACTAAAGGGACAAGATCAGACCCTGGAAACAGCCTGATTACACCAACTGGCAACTGAAGTCTATCCACTTCAGAACGTGCTCAGATAGATAGCGAGGGGGGCGGATCCAGTGGCCATCTGAGAAAGGTCAGTTGGGTTCCACCAAAAAACATTTTGCAAAAACAAAACCAGACTGAGGATTCGTGTGGAAAATGTTAAACACGCTCTATGCTGGAAAACTCTGAGACTCCTGCATTGCTGACTGCCTGCAGTAGACTATTCGGTAAATGACACATCTTCCAAAAAGGTGAGCTTAATTATTCTGAGGTTGTCTAAAATCAGCACTTGAACTGGCCAGGTTCTCTATCATTTGCCAAGTGAAGTTCATCTCTTCTAAAAATAAGGAAGCTTTTGGCCCTCAGGTGTATTTCTAAACACAAACATATACATACATACCGTTTTGACAAAGAACAAAAATCCTGCTAAGTTTTTCTTCTGAGATTAACCATGTGCCATTAGGTAAAAAAGAGAAAAGAGTGTTTTTTTAGTGTCACTGAAAAGTCAATTAAATCTATAGTAGTTCTTCCTTTGCCATACACTTTAAACCTTTACTTTTTTTTCTCCCCCAAAACAAGAGGCATTTCTTTGGACTTATAAAAAGCTACAATTATGCCAGTTGGTGGATTAAAAAAAAAAAAAAAAAAAAAGCTTCAAGACTATAATCAGAAATAAATTTTTCTCCATCATTAAGAAAATTAGTTTTTCCTTTTAAATTTATTTTTTAAATCCTTTAATTAGAACATAGTTCTAATGCACGAATTTATACAATCCTTCCACATCTATTTTTGCATTCCACTTGGAGAGACAGCTCTGGCATAATCATTTGTGATTATCATGATGCCTCACATAAAAAGCTGTTATTGTATTTGAAATGTCTAAGGTAGACAGTGATTCTTATCTCCCAAAAAGCAACCCATCCTCTACCTCCAAGAAACTGCTTTCTGTGGGGAAATAAATAATAAGTGCAATCTTTCCTAAAATACTTTTTAACATATATATTCATGAAATAAAGGGGGATAACTTTATTGCAAAACTTGTTTCTAACTGAAAATCTGAGTTGAGGTCCAGTTTCACCTCAGGACTGTTTAATCAGGGAGCTGTTTAAGGAACATTTTAATCAGCCTAAGTAAACCCAAATGAGTTTTGTTTTAATAGGCCTGAAATGATTTTTCTTCTTTTTTTTTTCCATACACAATGTTAGGGTTTCCCAATTAACATTTCCTTGGAGATGAACCCAATTAATTGTTCAGCCCCCAATAGCAATAAATGCAGTCTTCTATACACAGTGAATCAGGTGACCTCTCACACCTGGGTACATCCCAACTTACTAGCATTAACAAGAAAAATTGACTTAAGAAAAATATTAAAAGTATGACTCAAATATTTACTTTTAGGGCAGAAAATGAGAGATAGAAACTTATACTACTTTCCAAAAAGTAAAGATGTTAATGGCCTCTTATAGAAATTAAAACTGCAAACAGGGTAGTATTCCCAGGCCATTTTACAGAAACATTTAAGACAACCCCAACTAAAAGAAATGCTTGCCTTTGCTGAAATGGGAAAGGTTCTGTCTTCACCAGCCTATGAAAACCAACGTCCCAAGTATGAATATCTCACAAGTATCTCTTCCAAGTCCCAGATTTGTTTATCTGAGATAGTCAGCTTCTCCAAACAAATGGAAAACTAGAGGCAAAATACCTAAACCAAACATTTAAATATATCCTTCAAGATATAACACAGTGCTGTGGCAGGCAACTCGATGAACAGCATGAATTAAATGTTGAAAAAATGTATCATTGCAAGGTTAGGCAGCTTTACCCTTGTCTCATGGATAAATCCCTTTAAAGTTCTGTCGGCCTGTGGGTTCATGTGCTCACTTTTCAGTACACAGAGTAAGTTCTTCAGATCCCAAGTTTTCTAAAACCGAATACAGGCCGCCTCCACCAAATACTTTTGAAAAATGTTTAATAATCTTTGGTTTCTTTATTAAGGGCCCAACTTTACTGGGGTATGGTGCTCCCTCAGCTGAGGGCATATCGTTTCCAACTCCCAAATGTGTAACTAAGCAGGCTGATTTCTCACCTTCTGGAAAAGACAACTGGGAAGATGAACCTCATACTCTGCACTTACATGCACTTCCTTGACCATTTAAATTCTGGCCCACCACAAACAGGGCCAAACATGAGGCTGGTCATTCCTATATCCCAATCTAGTTCCCAAAGTCTTTACTGCAGTGGTTCCTGGGGTGGGGCCGAGATTTCCGGACAAGCAGCATCAACATCTCCTGGGAACTTGTTACCAATGCACATTCTCTGGCCCCAGCTCAGGACCTACTGAACCAGAACCTGTGGGGGCTGAGGCCCACCTCCCTAGGTGAGTGATGCCTTCAAGTTTGAGAACTACTGTTGCACTGCAGTCGCTATTAAACCGTGTTGTACCCTCAGAGCCTGCAGGTGGCACTAAAGGCCAGAAGGAAGAATTGCAGGAGCTGGCAGCCCAAGTTTTTAACTGTTAAGAGTTCCTGCCCGCCTGACCACACAGCTCTTTCTAGCAGTTCCCAACAGCTGCTCAGCCTCCGCCAATGCCTTAAAAGGTCACAGTAGATCTCAGCTTTGAACAGAAACTCAACAGAAACTCTTCTCACAACCCAGTAGTAGATATATTAAAACCTACATTTTTCAGGGATACAATCAATATTTAATTCTTTTGAGGGTTTTGTGTTTAATACAATAAGGACACAAACACACTTTTAAAACGACGATGTCAATACTCATTAAACAGAACAACAAAATAAGAAGCTCAAATTATCATCAGCTATTGTGTATATCTGAATAATAATAATGCACTTGATTCTGAAAGAATGATTAGAGTTCCTACCCTGAAAATCTAATTGTCTTGAAGTGACAAAGTGAGAAGGATGATTTTTCTAATGAAAAGCATGTATACGGGTAGTCCTTTGTGAGAATGTCAAAATTCTGAATTTTGCATTGGCTGTTTTACCATCCAAACGTCTTTACTGAAGATGTGCAGCAATGTGAACTCTCATACACTGCTTGTGGGAATATAAATCAGTATAACCACTTTGGAAAACCATTTAACAGTGTCAACTACAGCTCTACACACAAGGACTTAGAACCAGCCATTCCACTCCAGGGTATACACCCTGGAGATATGAGTGCCTATGTCTACCAAAAGCCGCCTAAAGGAATGCTCTGAGAAGTGTAACTTGTAATAGTTGCAAACTGGAAACAATTCAAATGTTCATCCACAGTAGGGCAGATAGTTTGGATATTCATACAATTAAACAGAAGTAGCAATGAAAAAACTAACCAACCGAACAACTGCTACAACATGAATTAATTTCACAAACCATGGATGAATCTTTCAGCGTGAAAGAAGCCAGACACAAAGGGGTACACTCTTATCCAAACAGGCAAAACTAACCTCTGGTGACAGAGGTCAGCATAGAGGTTCCTGGGGCTGTCTAAGAATAGGCATAAGGACCTATTGGAAACAGTCTACATCTCGAACTGGGGGATGGTTACTAGGGTGATGTATGATGGTTACTAGGGTGATGTATACGTATGATAAGTTCAATGAGTTGCATACGTAAAATTCGTACACTTTATATATTTTTTATTTTTATATTTTATTATATATTTTAGAGGCAAAAAATATTCTTCACAGCCTGTCATGTAAACATTTTCAATAACCATCATAAAACTCTGAATTCCTGGGAAAGAATATTGGTATTAGACTATATTTAGGCAACGAACACGCTGCATTTGCTGAGCTAAACTCAAAATTTAATACAGGGAACAGGAGATTTTCCTTTTTTCCAATGTTATACATATATAAAAAGACCAAAACTTTCTGGCTTGCATTCCGTAGGCCAAATTCCTTTAACTGTGTCATTTAATCGATCCTTCCTTGTGTGGCACTGGCTGTCCATTGTCTCAAGCCCTCGCATGTCCTGGATGGCCGGTCATCATCCACACCGGGGCTGAAAGGCCCGGCTCCAGCACTCCTGTGGTCATTATCCTGCTGAGTCGCTTTGAACCACCCTTGGCCTAACAGCGACTCCCACCCCGCTTCCCTCCTGCCTCGCCACCGCAGGCCTGTCCCTCCGCTTTCTTGTTAAAACGGCGCACCGTCTGGGGCCACTTCGAGCCTACTGGATCCCTGGTTCCAACCCAGCAGGATCACAGAAGCAGGGCCAGCTGCCAGGTGGGGAACATCAAGGGCAGAAACCTCCGGGGCCCGCAGCGCACCGATGACCCCGAACCCGCGTGGCTCCCCGCAGGCTGAGTCGGCTTCCACCCGCCCACCCGAGCTACCGGGGATCAGGGCCCAGGAAACACGCTCGGTCCTTTTCGGCGCTTCCGGGTTTGAAAACCGCGGTTTGCTATGACGTGTGACCAAGATGCGGGGCCAGCTGCCCCAGAGAGAATCCCATCCCGCGCCAGGCCGGGGAATGGGAGCTGCCGCGGTGGGGGGCAGCGCGCCCGGGGTGGCGTGCCGCTTCACCAGCTCTTGGGCAGTCCCCGCCGCCCGGGCGCGCGTGTTTACCTGGAACCAGGAACACGTGCTGCCGGGCGCCAACCCCGTCCCCGCAGTCCACGCCGGCGGCCATGCCGCCCGCCTCTTCCGGGGCGCCGCAGGCCCAGCGCTGCGGGCCTCAGTCTCCCAGTCCCGCCAAAAATGGCGGGAGAAGGGTCTGTTCCGGGTGGCGCGGCGCGCTGAGGGACCGGCAGCGCCCGGGAGGAGGCCCGGGGGCCGAGTTTCGTTTCGTTTCCGGGACCAGCCTGCTGCTGGTGTTACGTGTTTAAATTTAGCGCCAGGCGAGGCGCTCTGAATGCCGGCGCAGGGCCGCCGGCAACTGGAAGGGGCCGCGGCCTCTCCCTCGCAGCTCCGCTAGTGGTAAGTGCTCACAGCGCGCCGCAGGGCGCCGAGTGACGCGGCGCGGGGCGGGGTCGTCGGGGCCCCGCGCTCTGTCGCTGCACCCAGCGGCCCTCCGTGGTCTAGCGAGCGAGCTAGGACTGGGTCTGCGTGGTGTGGGCCCGGACAACGGGTGACGCCCGCCACACCCCCAGGGCTGGGGGAGTCTCCTGGAGCTAGTCCGTGTTAGGGACATTAGCAGTCACGGCGGAATCCGAATCCAACTCTTAGGCATGGTCCTCAATTATTTGTGAATATATATTGGTCATCAGTTGCATTCTATGTTGCTATTGATGTCAGAATATATGTGCATTGTGAGTTATAAGGGATGTCCTCAATTTGGACTCCGTCCTCATCACTAAAAGAGGTGCACAGTTTTAGGCTCAGAATATGAATTTGTTGTTTTGGAGAACGCTGTAATGAGGTAAAAATTTAGACATTTATTAAAAAAGTTAGAACCACGAAATTTGGGGGTTTAAACTTTTAAAAATAACATTTTAATTGAAAAGTGATGTTTGTTTGGTACATGGGTTTTAAGAAGAAAGTACATATTCCTTTCATACTTTAGAGAAAAACAGGGGCCAGGCGCAGAGGCTCAGGCCTGTAATCCCAGCTCTTTGGGAGGCCAAGGCAGGCGGATCGCCTGAGGTCAGGAGCTCGAGACCAGCCTAACCAACATGGTGAAACCCCGTCTCTACTGAAAATACAAAATTAGTTGGGTGTGGTGGTACACATCTGTAATCCCAACTACTACGTAGGGAGGCTGAGGCACAAGGATCACTTGAACCCAGGAGATGGAGGTTGCAGTAAACCGAGATCCCACCACTGCACTCCGGCCTGTGCTACAGAGCTAGACTCTGTCAAAAAAAACACACACACACAAAATCCACGAAAATCTAAATTTTTTTTTTTTTTTAAAGAAAAGCATGATGTCTCTCTTTTATCCCAGATCCCAGGGGTAACTGTTAACATTTCTTGTCTATTCTTGCAGAATTTTTCCATGCAAAAACGAGTTAATATCTTATTTTTGCACAATTGAAAGAATAATATACATAACTCATGCACTTTGCTTTTCATGTTTAATCTTGAAAGTAGTTAAATTTAGCAGCGCTAAATTTATCTCGGCCCTCTGAAAAGGTTTTTAACTTCAAACCTGTTTCCCATGGGGTGAGGCAAATATGCTGCAGTTGATTGCAGGACACAGCTGGTGGAGAAGAGGCCTTTCTGGCTGAGGAAAGGCGCCTCTTGCCAGTTTTGGGGCAAGGAGCAGCAGATTGGTACCGCTCTGATCTTCCCTCTTCCCCAAAACTAGGGTAGAAGATGCTGTGGTGTATAGCGCAAATCCCCAGGTACACCATCATCTTACTAACAGCTACAGAAGCACCCCATTATTCCTACAGAAGCACTACATTATTCCTGCAGGATGGGATCCAAAACCCCCAGTGAAGGCCTAAAACTGCAGATAGTACCAAACCCTCTATATACTGTTTTTTCCTTTGCATGTATATCTATGATGAAGTTTAATTTGTAAATTAGGCCCAGTAAGAGATTAACAACAACAATAATAAAATAGAAGAATTTTCACAATATGCCAGCATCACTACTCTTGCAGCTATTAAGTGGCTCATGAGGAGTGACTTCTGCAGTGACTCATAAGTGACTTCTGCAGTGTGGATCCGCTGGGCGAAGGGAGAATTCAGGTCCTTTGCAGGATGAAGCTGGGTGGTGCAAGAATTCACACCACTCAGAACACTGCACAATTTAAAACTTATGAATTGTTTGTTTCTGGAATTTTCCATGTAATATTTTTGGACCAAGGTCGACTGGGGGTAACTGACACCTTGGAAAGTGAAACTTCGAATAGGGGGAGCTACTGTACATGAGAAATGTTACTCATTATTCCCTTGCTCAGACATACATACCTGTTTCATTTTTCTCTGATCCTTTCCAGCCCTTGGCTATATGAATGTGTATTTTTGTGGTTGTTGTCACAATTTAGACTATTTTGTCTGCTCTTCTCACTTAACATTGTCAGAAGCATGTGCCCCTTCATATTGAGAGCTATCATTCTTAATGGAGGCATGATATTTAACACTTCTGGTGTACCAGGATTAGTTATCCATTCCCTAGTGTGCAGTATTTAGGTTATTTCAAGCTGTTACTATAAATAATGCTACAATGTGTATTGTATATGGGCCATGTATACAGAAGTTTGACACAGTGATTGATGTACATACACCCATTTTTTGTTTTTTTTTATGGTTTTATTTAAGTCCCATGGGCAAGATGTGCAAGTATGTGTAAGTTTGTTACATAGGTAAAACGTGTGCCATGAGCGGGTTTGCTTCACCTATCACCCCATCACCTAAGCATTAACTCAGCACGCATTTAGCCTCTTTTCCCTAATGAATCCTCCTCATCCAACACCTCCTAC